GCTTATCAGATTTATCAACAAATCCTTTTGTAAAATTTAAACTATTTTACTTGACGTTACTTGATATTTCACCGACGTTCTACTTCGTCTGAACTATAGTCATCGGTCATCAACTACAGATACATAAACATTTTTTTTACATCAAAATATTTCATAAGTACGTATCCATTTAGAAAGCAAAATACCATTTTGTGTTAATTTAAAAGCATCCTTTTTGTAAATTAAAAAACTTTTAGTGTTAATTAACTATGATACTTAGCTGTACTTTGATAAGGTACTCTTGTGTTAGTTTTTTATTTCATACCCCTGGTTGTATAAAATACTTAATTAATTAATCTCATTTTCATTTTTAGTTCTTATTTCCGATGTTAAAACATTCCACGAACTTTTGTTATGCTTTTGTCTCTTGTAGCCGAATACTGAAGGAGTTACGAAATTTTATTTCCCACATGAATAAATTTGCATTCTAGAGTATAATCGTGACCTAATAATGTACTGTTAGATATCAGAAAACATATCCACTAGTCTTTTTGGTAACCGTCATCATCAAGCATCATTAAAATTTACGTTTCATCTGCACTTTTCCTCTAATGTAGTCAGAAAAAATAATATATAGTTAGACACCCCTACCCTAAATTGTATTATAATTAACTATGATATAATGCAGTAAATTAAAAATTAATCTGCTTCCTATCTATTCGGCTTTTGTTGCGAAATTGTTTGTAGATCACAGATTTCATTAGTTCCATATTTAAATTAAAGTAAGTGCTGTGTTGAGAGACTGTAATATCATATGTTATTGGACCACCGATAATGATCATAATAAACGTAATTACAAAATATTCACGTCTGTCGCAAGTAGATACTCAAAACAATACTATAAGTAATTAGATTCATTTTATCTGTTACCCGATAATCTTACAATTAATTCAGTAAGAAATTACCTTTTCGATTTCATACATTAGGCATCACTAACAAATAATTATTCGTTGTAATAGAAACTCAAAATTGGTACGCAAAATTTACAAATTTCATTTGTACTTTTCATAGTACAGGCATAGTTCATAGGAAAACACTTGTTATGTGAGTCAAACCTGCATTTGACTCATTTATTTTCGAAATCGTAGTTCTTTTGGTACAGAGATTGTGTCACACAATGCGACGGAAGTCGGTGGTAACTCGAGCTTCTCAGTTTTCACTAATGGTTTTCACCGGTCAGTAAGTGAAGTCAGGCTGATGTTAAAAAGCCTCACTAACACCGTTTTTAATGCTTTATAGAAACCAATTTGCTGTTACTGAATTATGCATTGGGCTATTAGATGTTGTTGCACTAAAATATGATCGTCGATTGCAATATAGATTTTAATATCAATAATTTCTCTTTAAATTGAATCTATTGTGTCATCTGCAAGAAATAGATGCAGTGGTGGACTAGTTCGTTGGAGGCCCAAAGCAACAAAACAAAATGAGTAAAATAGTTAAAAAAAATTATAGTGTACATTTTGTAAAAAATTAATAATTTGAATGTATAATGATTGACAAATCAAAGTATTTATAATATGTCTAAAACTTCAAAGATCAATCTGCTTGTAATACTTACTAAACATACTTTAGTGTTCTTTAGGATTTAATTAAAAACGACTTTATATTTGAAGGCCTCCCAGGACCACTGGGTAGATGACAGTGGTGTTGAGAAATCTGCGTACTGTTCCACGTGTGTCAAGTTTTACTGATTTGTGGAAACTGATGTATGTTTGCAAGAAAAATACCAAATGGATAAGGTGTTTTAGTTTCCTCCAATGCTAAAAATGAGAAACCCCCAATGATATTATCAGTAGTTTCATGAAATGTGTTACATGTTCGGCATGTGTGTCAACCCGAAATAAAAATGTTCAGTCTCTCAAAGTCTCTGAAAGCGTGAGACTGTCAAAAAAACTGACTCGAGTCGCTCATAGAGAGATCCTCATTTCGTATCCAGTCTCTGAACTAGAGACTCAAATTTCTGAGCGAGACTCGAATCTCTGAACGAGAAACTCGAAGGGTGCGCCCGAGATAAAAATGTTCAGTCTTTCAGAGTCTCTGAATCCGAGACTCGAGTCTCCGTCTCTCATCGAGTCTCTCCGGTGTCGCTGAGGGAGACTGTCGAGAGACTGTCAAAAAAACCGTTTAGCGTCACTGAACGAGAGACTCGAGTCACTCATAAAGAGATCCTCGTTCCGAATCCAGTCCCTGAACGAGAGACTCCAATCTCTGAACGAGAGACTCGAATCTCTCAATAAGTGGTGTCTCGACAGACATGGTTAAACTTTTCTAAGTTCAACATATTTCAGAGATCCCAGTCTTTCTACGAGAGACTCGAGTCTCTCAATTTTTCAGTTTTATTCATCTCTGATTTAGCAATTTTATCATTCGAGTCTCTCATATAGCTGTGAAAAATCCATAAAAACACCTAGACAATAACTGAGAGACTGTGAAATACTGTGAGAGACGTTTTCGGAGACGCTGAGAGACTCTGAGAGACTGAAAATTTTTATCTAAGGATGTTACTGTTGGTTCTTTTATTATATATTTTTTCTAGTTTTTGGGTTTTCATTATATTATTTTATTTTCATTCTATTTCAGAGTACAAATGGTACATATTGTGTTCGATAGGTACATAAAGTTCTAGTATGCATGTCAGGTGACTCTAATAGTTATTATTTTTTGTATTATTATTACATAAATATGCAAATAAAAAAGGTACAAGCCTACAAATATATGCACACTACTTTTTTTGACACGTTTACCAAATTTCAGCTAATTTATACTTTCTAAACTTTGGAGAAATTCAAACAGTTCTTTGATCCTTGTATGTATATAAGTATATATCTTAAATGAAATACTTACAGGTGATTCCAATTGAAATATAGTAATTATGAAAATTCCCAAAGCTAACGGAAAAGGAATAAAACGTCTGTTCTGGAATCTTCCTCACTGGATTTCTTTGGCTCTTTTATGTTATTTAATAGTTCAATGTATTTTGAAATAGTTTTATTATTATGCAAAACGCATAGAAACAGAAGTGCTTAAAATAATTATCATTTCTTTTTGAAATGTTAAGAGTTCAGTGTTTAAAAGCGGAATTATCGAATTCTAATTTACACAATCAATTATTACAATCCAGTTGGTTTCCGAATACTTATTATTACCCACTAACTATTATAATAATTGCGTATAATTATATAAGTAATTCATTTGATTCACATACGTACTTTTGCATACATAAGTCAAAAGATTTCAACATCATCCGTTGTCTGCCTATGCAGACGTTTTATGTTAATTTATTCATATTTGTATGTGTGAGAAGGTGAATCAGTGAATCATGTATTACCACATACGAAACGTACAGGTCGGTTAACCAAAATTTTTGACATTTCATATTCTCCGTAAACTGTTTTCTAAAAATCTACACTATTGCACTATTAATAACTTACTCAAAAATTTCCTTATTAACTTTATTTGAAAGCTAAATCCTACAATATTTTGACACTAAATAAAATCAATTCCGGTTAACACAATTATTTTCTTGTAGGGTGGCTACTTTTAAAATCATTAACCTCATTCATTAGATTTAAAAATATAAGATATTTATTATTAAAATTATCAATAATCCTTAACAAATATGCCTGAACATAAAATAAATTTCCGATACGTTTTTGTACATCTACAAATACAGGTTCTACTCGGCCTTATTTTCAGTTTTCGTTTCATTGATTACCAGGATGATGTACCCAACAAACCGTTTTTCTAATTCAATAACCCAAAGGCAACATAGACCTTTTATGTGCGAATATTGTGTAAAGATTATGTTGTACATCAGAAGAAGAATTTACAAGGTTAGATTGAAGAAGTCTAATCATAAGAAATGTGGAAGATGTTCTAAATGTTATTCTGTTTCAAACAAGGCATTTCAAAGTCATGCGAGAATGGATATTTTAATAATACGTATTGTACATGTTATTCATTAAAAAATGTTTTTACTTTCCGTTTCTATAAGTATACATACTATTCACTATACAGTAGTGGAAAACTGAGAACCTAGCATAAGGATTTTCTAGTACATGCAGTGATTGAAGGGTGACGCCATCTCTTGAAACATACGACGTAATATAAGAAAATTCGTAAAAATACCCTCAGCCATATATTCATATAAATAATAAAGTAATATAAGTCCAGTAAATGTAATTTAAATCCTTTGAAGGGCGTTTGTTTGTACAAAAGTTCGGTTTGTTTAGAAGTAGAAACCATCATTATCATCATGTTCTTGTTAAAGGCGACTCGACCCTGTCTTATCTGAGTTATCCTTAACACCAAAAATCAGTCACTTCTTCTAATTTTTCGCCTCCTGTCTTTATATTTGCTCTTTTCCTACTTTTTTTTCCCTTACATCCCAGTACTTTTTTTACTTTTATTTATTTTTATACAATAATTGTCAATACCGCGTCCATTTTATTTAAAGCTATCTATTAGTCCTCCTTACTAGATACTGATACTGCTACAATATCTGCAAATCTAATCACACTCTTCCTTAGCCACTAGTTGAAATATATTCCATGCGTTCACCAAATTCGACATAAAAAAAGAAAAATACCAACAATGTTCGATGAACGTTTTGCCTTACCTGTATAGAATTATTTTTGCGTTACAATCCAACAAAACGATTCAATGAGTAAAGGTTGCAAAGCTCCCAGTGACCTTTACAAATCGTTTTATGTGTAGCATCACTTGCATTCTTTGGGCAGGTGAATATCTATAAACTTTTTTATGTTTACGACGATCTCGTGGAAGCGGTTATTATACATATTTTTTTATCACAAACATATAAAGTTTAATGTGTGTGAACTATAATATTGATATTAATTAGATAGCTAATGAGACGAAATACTTTCTTCTTATATTCATGATGTATTCGGTCATATTTAATTAGAAAGAAAGGACACTGAATGATATACGTGTGTAAAATATGCATGCATGTCCATATATACATATGTATGTGTGTACATATGCATAGGAAGATCATCTTCAATTGCGAAATGTAAAGGTCCCATTGGTGGCGTCCGCAGCCTAGATAAGGAGAAAGGAATATAAACTTACATAACGACTCTAAATCGGTCTTTTTGGGCATATTTCCAATTTAAAATTTGTTATTTTATTAAATTATACATTAAAGTTATTTATATCACAAAAAATGCCTTTTTGATACTTTGTACTGGACGGTAAATCCATCAAATACAATATAGTATATACATATACATATACGTATTCACTATTTACCTTAAAGCTCGAGCCCTTCAATCAACAGGATCCCGTAGCCTAAAAGACTAAAAAACAGTGGTATACAATTGTGTAGCTGTTACTTAGTAATTATAGAAGTTGTTCATCATTTTATAAACAAAAAATCCAGAAAAGTACCGCTTATATTAGTATAGATAAGTTTTTGTACTTTAATTTCCGCTGTTCACTGATTAGGGGTGAATTCACACCCCAGAATAGTTAAATTGACTGATTGTGGTCATACGTCGCCATGTAACAGACCCAAGGGCCGCCACTGATTTTGCGTAACAAAAGCTAGAAACTTTTACCTACAAAAATCCTTAATTACAACAATAGATGACAGACGCTGTTGACCTGTTTAAGATTTTAATTGTTCAACAGGTTTATTATTATTTAACGTGTTCGCTAGCAGATGTGCAAAATTCTTAAGTGTGATTTGAAATATGCACCTACACGTTCCTTCATGTTCAGTTACAAAACGTACAATCCGCAGAAATAATCAATTTTGCCCGTAAGTAAAAAAAATTGGTACTCAAGGACAAGTAGAATGTCGTATACCTTATTTAAACTTTCTGTTTCATCAAACAGTATAGAGAAAGAAGTGTATTCTCTATGTTGTATTCGCGATACATGATGGCAGGCGGGGTAGTGCCACTAGTGGTGGTAAATGTCAGCGAAATCTGTTGGTGATGAGGCATCTTTAGTAGGTATGGTATAAATACATCATCATTCTCTTTAGTTTTAGTTGTAAACGTAAAAGTCAACCGCGTACCTTAAACTGTACAAAAATTACTATGGTATGTACCTAATTAAACTTGCATCTTTCCACATTATACTTACGATATTACATAGTTATTTACGAGTGTGCAATACCTACTGTTATTTTAGATTTTCATCTTCGCTTTCCTTTTCCTTTGTGCGAACGCCGCCCCTCAAAGTCAGGCTGACCGAGACGCGGTTATTACGAAATACGACAGCAACAATATAGGACTTGACGGATACAATTTTGCGTAAGTTTTTAATTTTTATATTCGTAAATTTTTGTTTAATTTTTATATTATTAGCTACGAAACGAGCAACCGAATCTCGCAACAAGAAGACGGCCAATTACAAAATGTTGGTACCGACAACGAGTCTATTGCTGTTCGGGGACAATTCTCGTTCGTAGCACCGGACGGTGTTACATACACGGTGAATTACATAGCCGATGAGAATGGATTCCAGCCTCAAGGCGCACATCTTCCTGCGTGAGCGTAATCACTATTTAGACTATTATATAATGAATTAAACTCTCTATTTAAAGCGGGACACACTTGACTATTATTTTTATCAAATGACTGAAGCAACTTCCTGCTTCTTTTGTTAATGATACAAATAAATGCTCTAATAAAAATAAACTATTTATTATGAAACTATGTAGTTATACTTTTAAAAATTGAACAAGCACACGGTTTCAAATTTGAAGCACATGCAATTACCAAATATAAAAGAAAAAGCATTTTTTTCTGATTTACTTTTAACAAGTTTATCAACCAAGCAGTGAAATACAATTACGAAGATAAATTGAAACTAAAGTTGATCGTTATGATGCTTTTTTAATTTCGCATAAAAGTCTCTCTGCAGAAGCACTTTTGGATTACAACAATACAAAAATAAAGTAAAATCCAATGTGACCCATATATGTAATTATCACGGCATGAATGATGTAATGAATGATAGGAAAGTTACTGAGTTTAATTAAAAATAAATCATAATCCCAACGAATATCTAAAAATTGGTGCATTAGAAATTAATCGTTCGAAACATTTTTATGTAGATTTATTGCTCTGTATTGCTCTTTGAAAGTATAAAGTAGGTATGTTACTTTATTTTCTTTCCTGTATTTTAACATTAATTAATGAGCAATTAACGGTCATAAAAAGATTAGACACTAAATTTTTTAGGGGGGTTTGAAATAAATAAAAATCGCCACGAACTGTTGAACGAATTCCGATTGATTTATTACTTTTATTGTGTTTTCATTGCTAGGTTATTATACGTTCAAAAAAATTGAAATGAATATACACATAAGTTGTTAACACTCCATCTAGTACCCAATAGACAATACAGTAAACATATAATAAATGTACATATACAGCAAGCAAATCTAAAATGCTTAATGTTTTGTATACTTGCGCTAACTTCTTCAATAAGTTTGTATAGCACTTACGGCGAAAAAATCGGTTTTTATAAATCAAATTGTTCGTATATTTTCCAATAGTTGACGCTCAAATGAAAAATATTCTTCTATTTCTGAAGCTTCTGTTTTTCGATTTTCTGAAAGTATACCTAAACATTACAGGTAGGTAACCTATTGTGAAAAAAGTTTTATAGGTACTTTTATAAATTCACATTTTCCTATGATAGCATTCCGCTCACAATCAGTTATTTTTATTACCCTACACTTATTTAAACTTAAAGGGCATAAGTCGTAGTGTATTAATTTATAGCTTCAATGTATCGATAATAATCAGTGATGAATCCGTCCTATCCATTTGTTATTAAACATACGCCGTCGTGCGTTAAAAAGCACTTGTTGATCCCTCGACATGTGCGTGAATAATATCATTATTGATTGAGTCGAAACCATTTGATAAAAGGAATAGTCATCACTATTATCCACAAAAGTGCATATTAACGATTGATGTAAATAATTGATTATGAAATTAACACAATATTCAATAACGACACCAAAAAGAAATTATGATTGCTATTTTTGCTATTAAGGTTAACACTTCTGACAAACAGATGGACTTACGTTGTGTATACCTACAGTGGTAGCATATGTTTGTCATTATCTTTATTAACAACTCAATTTTACAACTAATATATATGTATATTTATTCCAATAACAATCTCATTCGCACTTTGATTTGCAAAATTGTATAATATATTCAGAAAAACGATAATTTACTAATAAAACAATAGGCGTAAAAATTGCATTGCCTACTATAAATTACTTTAAAAGAGACAAATCATTAATATTTGAATAATCAGTCGATTACATCCTGGTTGAATATTAATTTGAATGAAAACGACAAATTACTGTACGAATCTTTTATTAGCATCTTAGTCAGAAGATTTCGTCTTTTCGGCGAGTATTAAATTTCAGTGTTGTAGACGGACTACGTACACCGTATAATCTATACGTTTATGTATTCTTAATGCACAAGGTTAATAAAGGATTTATTGATTTAACTTTGCTTTATGGCAGGACCAGCATACTGCTCAAAACATGTGCCTGTAAGAACCGGAAATAATCGTTGACAGGTAATTAACTTTTTCCTAAAGTCTGGAGTCGATGTTTCAAGTAATAGAATAAAAAAGATATTGTAAATCTTACGTTTTTTTTTTTCTGTACTAAAGTATACATACTAATCTATACATCGAAGACGCCATCAATATCATTAAAGACAGTACAACTGTAGGGATAGATGTGCAAGGGCAAAAGATTAGTATGCTTAGATTTGCAGATGATATAGCAGTATTAGCATCTAGCAAGGAGGACCTAGAGATAGCTTTAAATAAAATGGAAGCGGTACTGACAGATCAGTACTGTATGAAAATAAATAAAAGTAAAACTAAAGGGAAGAAAAAGTAGGGAAAGAGCGAATATAAAGATAGGAGACGAAAAATTAGAAGAAGTGGCTGATTTTAGATACCTAGGAAGTCAGATAAGTGAGGATGGAAGGAGTAGTAGGGATATAAAGCAGAGGATAGCGCAGGGTCGTGTCGCCTTTAATAAAAAGAAGTCACTTCTATGCTCGCGAACGGTTAAATTAGAAATTCGAAAAAGGTTGTTAAAGGTGTATGTTTGGAGCACGGCGTTGTACGGGTGCGAAACATGGACAGTGGGAGCAGCGGAAAAGAAAAGGTTAGAAGCGTTCGAAATGTGGTGTTATAAGCGGATGATGAGGATATCGTGGGTAGAAAAGGTTAGAAATGAAGAGGTATTGGAAAGAATTGGAGAACAGAGGACTCTGTGGAAGTCAATAAAAAATAGGCGAGACAGGTTGGTAGGACACCTTCTTAGGCATGAAGGTCTAGTCAGAGACATATTAGAGGAAGAAACAGGAGTTAGGAGGGGTAGAGGTAGACCTAGATTAGATTACTGTTCGCAAATATTTAAGGATGTGGGCTGTTCTAGTTTTAGGGAAATGCGAAGTTTAGCTCAGGATAGGAAAGAGTGGAGGTACGTGTCCAACCAGTCTTAGGACTGATGACCTTATGATGATGATGACTAAAGTATACCATACGTCATACAAATATTCAGGACGGGGAAGGTGAACATTCCCCATTTCCCCCTGGTTTTGTCACTGTAAGAATACTTTTATCACCATATATTGGAGAATCGGGTTTCCAATTATCGAATATTATGTTAAAAACTGAAAACCAGAACGCGATTATTAATTTATTAAATAATAGTGTTTAGCTTAAAATAAGTGGCTATAATTAACGTAATAACCAACAAACTTAATACAGACGGTAATGAAGATAAAAGTAATCAAATAAAATAATTTAAAGTACTCTATTATCATACGGATCATGTTTCAGTGTAGTTGATCTAACTTTCGAAAATTTCCCTTTTTTGAAATCTAATTTATCATTTTAAGAGGAGTTTTTTATGAAAAATCATACAATTTTGTAATAACGTTTTCAGCACATTTTACAGAGATTTTCTTTTTACGAACTGATATCCTTATTTATTCAGAAGCAACTTACTCCCGAAACATTTTTACGTGTTAACTTCAAAAAATCTTAAATTATCTCTAATTTCACGTTGTGTCAATTAAAAATAATGTATCACCATTTGTTTGAATGAATTACACTTAATCTATTATTCAATTCATCTTGCCGATAGTTTTTTCATTTCTTAACTTTTGTAAAGTATTAATCAGACGCTATTAAGGAATAAGGATTTTGAAGTTTTCAGTATTCTTAAATAACCTTTGAACAACCCTTAACGGTCTGAAAAATTCATACAATTTATTTTGCCTCTCAGATAATACATCTATTTAACCATTAAAAAATAAAGCTTTTAGATTAAAATAATTTGTAATAACTCTTTTGTTATTGTTATACACTGAGAATTGCAAATTGCGCGTTTGTATTTCCTTTAATCGCTTCTAGCTGAGAGTAAAAGTATTGACATTAAAAAACATTACAAGAGAGCTTTTCTGTTTTAAAATTCTAAAAGAGGACTAGGTTAGGCCAAAAACTCGATTTTGGCAATTTCATAAAAATCTTGTTTTAAGCAAATTGATTCAGATTTTTGCAGGGTGAACTACTGATCCGCCTTCAGGGTTAACTCCCGAATGAAAATATTCTACAATTAATGGAAAAACTTCGGCATACGAGCAGAAGGTTTTTATCTTGTCTAATTTCGTATATTCTATACTTGGCGGTCTTCCAAAAGTATATTGTGAACTTTATTGGCTACATCCTCAGTAGTGATCCCAAGTGGGCGTCTGTAATGTTCCTAAGATATCTTGAAGGACTCAAAAGGACTTATTGAAGTCACTGACTCATCTCATTGGAGAAGAAATTTTGTGAATCCTCAGTATTAGAAGTTTTTTCAAAACAGACTTTGGTAGCCAAAATTACTATCACATGCAGACACTTTTGAACAAATGAAAAGAATTTTCAAATTTATTTATTGCACAGACATCCAATATGAACGGGTCCATCTAGTATAGAGGCTAGGGTGCATTTGAATACTATTCTTTCTAAGAAACTTTAAATTAACTGGTGGACGCGACGCAATTGTGTGCAGTTGTTTTGACCTCCAATAAATTTCATCGATGAGACGATCAGCAAAATTTATTACAGACGTTTTCACCGTTATATTATTTATAGACAAACCGTGTGGTATATACCATTATTTCTCAAACAATACGAATGCGTTATTTATTGTTCGATTTTTTGGTAGCCTCTCCAGTCGCTTACCTCATTTCAGTTAAGTTAGACATAACAGTTATTTTTGAATCAATAACCTAAACTACAGAAGATTTGAACCGATAATTATCTTACATTTACAATTCATTAACATTATTTTTAAAGAAAAATTGAAATAATGGTACGCTAATATGAGAAGAAATATTAACAACTTTATTGATTAAGGTGAATATGTGGTGAATTAATTAAAAAAAACAAGTGTGATATGATTTTTATAGAAAAATACGAATATCAGTAAGGCCTCTTTTTAGCCTGCGACATAGTTAAATTTTTTCTAGGAGTTTTTGCTGATTTTTTATTACATAAATTAAGGAGATAATATTTATGACTTTGTGATTTATTTTTTAATAGGAATTTATATGGCTTTTTCAAAATGTACGTATAAGTATTTTGCATATGATAATGGGTTATTAATAGACTATCGTAAGTAAATAATTCGTATATCTTTAAAAAAGTGTCAAATTTGCTTTTAAACTGAAGCACGAAACGACCAAACTCTTCAAACGTATAAAGCACAGGTCTGTACTCCTACTACCGTTAGTAAACTGAAATATAGAATCATTCCAATATCTAATGCATATGTATACACTGTACAATACTCATTACTCTATCGTATTAATTTTATTTTCTTCATTTACACCAAACTTTTACCGTCCAGCCAATAATAACTTGCAACAATGCGCATACAATAATTCTCGCAGTCGGGAGCTTTTACCTTGACGAAGTTAAGTAAAATAAAGAACGCATTGAACATATTCTGTGCGTGATGGGTTACAAAAAAGTTTTTAAATATCCATTCAAGTAAATGCAAATAAATAAAAATGAATATCGCCTACAGGTGTTTTTAGTAATACAATATCATATACGACGTCTTCCGCGCGCAAAAGTGGCGGGAGTGTTTTAAAACATGAAGACGCTAAAGGATTATTTCTAATAACCATTAAACCGTCAGGGTCAAACTGTCACTGCCTTTGTGTTCAACAAGAAATATTGTATTTATTTTAATATTATTGCTTACCGCAGTCCTGTAGTGCTTCAATCAAAGGAAAGAATGACATTTATACAGGTAGCTATTATTATTGCTCACATTTATCGCATTCAATTTCGATTTTTTAATTTAAGTAACAATGAACAAACTGCAAAATACACAGGGTGATTTGGGTGGTTTATCTCACGTATTTAACAGTACAGAAAAGAAATCGTCATCTGCTTTGTCTTAACACATCATTATACCTGTTTTATTTTAAAATATAGCATCCAAGATGAATTAATTTAACTTCAGAACCATATAAAACCTAACGATAATCCCATTAAACAAAGTTATGCAAGGTTTAGGTTAGAAAAACTTAATTAATCTATTCAGGATGGTTATGATGATAGTGAGTTTGTGGATTGATACGATTGATAGTCTTAAGCATAATAGTACAGGCTTTCGATGCCAGTGTTAGGTAATGGTGCTTTTATTCTAATGTTTGGTACATCAGCTGAAAAAATTATCTTCTGTAATTGATGTTAGTCACACATTGTAACAAAACATTTGATAGTGAAATGTTTTTGTTCGGATTGTTGAACTAGTAACATAATGAATATGGCTGTTAGTATCTTCAAACGACGAAAGTCGGACATGATAGAGATCTTCTAGTTTAATGTTCAAAAAGTTTTGCTTTTTAATTTTTAATCATTTGTGTCGAGTGTGCACACATTAACGACATAATATCTATACATATGTGTTAATAAAATTTGTCATCATATAAAGCATCAATTTATTAAGCATATAAAGAATAACAAAAACCACGTAATAAGTAAATCAACTGAATAATTTGTTTTATAAGTTACATAAATGCTTCTATCTATTCGTATTTTCCAAATATTTTTTGAGTATTCTCTTGTATTAACTGCAGGGTAACCAATTACGCATTTCAATTCAATAATTAACAACCTACTCATATAAGAAGGAAAAGGATTGCTGCACTCTCTTCATTCTTGGAGAAACGCAATAATGATTAATTAAAACACTTGGAATTATTTATTGTCAATCTGTTATCAAATGTCACCTTAAAAATATGTAAATGAGCCACTTCAAAAAGTCGCCCTGTACGCCTTGGTCTATTGATATACAAATTTGCGATTGTAGTTTACGACTACCTATCATGCCGTTCGCGCATTGATAGTTTCGATTGGTTTGAGTAGAGATGCGTTTACACAGGGTTTTTATTGACTAAGCCTTTGTGACGTTGGCAGCTTCTTTGTTATTTATTCGTTTGTGAAAGCCAAGGCATGCTTTGATTGACCTCAAATAAAGTTTGCACTAGAGTGTAAATGAAAAAACAAACATTACACAACCACTTGATCTAAGTAATTGTCCAATAATACCATTACTTCTTGAATTATTTCAGCAAACTATGTAGATACCTACTACGTTTACTTTGCATCCGTATTTTTGGACAATATTTAAAACATATATATATTATTTATTAGGCAGAGTACTCTTAATATATTCGAGATTACAGAACATTTGTTAAAATCGCTTAAAAACTGATTATACATTTATACATGGCCATGAACTTGACAAATTCATTTTTCTGAAAGAAATTGTTCCGAAAGAGTACATATTTTTCAAAAATGTCAAAAAATAATTGTTGATAACATATCTTTATTCTGCTAGGTATGATGCTAAAATAATTTAAATAACTAGAAAATTGTTATTTTTCACATTTGTTAAAATTACCCACTCTACGAGGGTGGATTGATAAGTTTCCGGCCTAACCAAGAGATGACGCCACTAGGCCTACCTTGAGGTGACATTCTATAGTACCATCCTTGGATAGCTTGTAGCTATAGTTTCAGCCCGATCTCCT